ATTAGCACCTCTAGTAATAAATTTACTGAGAAAAATGGTGACGTGTTCAATGCTTATTTTACCTGCTGTATATAAAATTATTTGTTTTGTTTTAATCAAATGAATAAAGTATTTAAATCTGAAAAATCTGACTCAGATTTATGACTACAGGGTCATACTTGATACTGGCCCAGTGGTACGTCCTCATCTCCAAGAAGCGGCAGACGGTCATGCCGAGCCAGATGCCTCCTCCGTTACACAGCAGAATATCCAGAATCACTTGGTCCCACCAGCACTCGGCGAAGTTTGGCAACAGATGCATGAAGAACAGCTGCAGATACAGAACGTGTTCAAAATGAATAACAAGCTGAAACCCATCATCTCCCAGTTAAAGGAGGCGGTTACATCATCAGCCCTGAGCTGATGGTTTACCTCGGTCAGCTCCCAGGTAATACTGATGGTCCAGCAGAGGCCGTAGCTCCGGATGAGCAGGGCCTTCATGCCCCACCCCCAGAAGTGGCTGAAAGCAAAAATGTCAAAGTGGCTCAGGATTCTCTCCCAGGTGATGACGTGGCAGTTCACAGCGTACTCCTGCAGAGGGGGTGGGGATATTAAAAAAAAAGTCTCGTTAACGACGGCGGGCTACTTCCTCAACGTTGTGAGCCGTCAAACACGTCCTCACCGACCATTATATCTGCCTCTCGTTTGGCGTAACGCAGGTTTGGATCCAACCAGAACATGAGCTGCTTCACCTGCTGCCAGTTCAGGAAGATGATGAAAACCAGGAACAGGAAGTAGAGCACGCTTAGACCTTCAAATAGACAAATAAACAACCTTGAGGAGGTGAAAAGATCAACATAAAAACTAGTTTTTTCACTGCCAAATAGTTATTTATTTCAAACTATTCATTTCTTTAAAAAAAGCACAATTTAATTCTATGTACAATAAAAAGAAAATGAAATGAAATGAAAGGTGGCAGTGAGAAGAAAAAGATCTTCTGATATCTGCCCCTTTTTCCTCAAGTACAAATTCAAACAATAATAATTTTCACCAAATACTCACCAAACACTATTCGCCATATGGCTGGGTGTGGTCTGGTGAACGGACCTAAAATAAATCATATCAGGTCAGTTTGAATGTTTGTTTTTTTCTCTGCTTCACAGTCAAAACACCAGCAGAGGTCATTATAGATTAGCAGGGAAGATAACGTCAGCAGCTAGAGACCGTCTGCTGTCAGACACCTGTAATCAAACAGCTTCCAAGGTCTTTGCTCCTTTCACAACAACTCTCTGCTCTCAATGAGCGATCCTCGTTATTAATTAAACTAAACCGGTTTGAAAAACACCGACGAGGGAGTTAAACAGTTCTCCTTTTCTGTTAATCATCTACCAGAGAAGCCTGGACTAAAATAATACCTGTAGAGTGTTCAAAACAGTTAAAACCCTCGAGAGCCACTATCCTGAACGTCTCTCTGCTTTGACACGGCTGATTTGAGTCAATTAAGGTTATAATAGTTWTGGATTTTTCATTTTAGTTTAGTTTTATTTCTTTGTGATATTTTTTCATTTAATTCAGTTAGTTTTCTTTAGTTTTTACAGTGGATTTTTATTGTAAGCACAATAATGTAAACACATATTTTACAGTATTACTGCATTATTATTCCAATACATTATTGTACAAGGTAGAAACCTAGTGTGAAATGTTTAATATATGTCGCATCTTTAGATGTAATAAGAACATGAACAGATTTGGCTCACTATTTGGCAATAAATTGGACATCTTTGTTTTTTTTCTCATCCTTAATTAACGCATAATAAACACTTCTTAAAGATTCATAAAGTGTTTACAGATGAATTAAAAACTATTTATAAGCCATCTATAAGGGGAGTCTTATTGTAAAGTGGTACCAGTATTTTTATGTTTTGATAAACATATTTGCCAATGCATGGACGACAATTCACTATTTAAATTAGTAAAGAAAGTCCTGGTGAGGAACACTGGCACGCTCTGAAATAGATAAAGTAATTTGGGCAGTATTGTCATTTTGATCACGTTGATTCTACCCCCCAAGGATAGAGGCAGGGATAACCATGTAACAATGTCCTTCTTAAGGTTCACCAGGAGAGGCAGAAGGTTTGCTGTATAAAGATCTTTG